TTATTTAATAAAAAAAATTATATACATATATATGAATATATATATATGTATATATAAATATTTTATAATATTACTAAAAATACAAATTAACAAAAAATATATTTTTTAAAACTTTTTGTGTTTTTATTTATTTTTACTGAGACGCGGGCGAATTTTTGTGGTTCATATCAATAAAATAAAAAATTTTAAATAATTAATTCGATCTAAAAAAAAAAAAATATATATATATATATATATATATATATATATATATATATATATATATATATATATATATATATGTCTGTATGTATAGTTTATAGTTTATCTATGTAAATGAGAAACTTGCTCAAACTTACAAAGCGGGAAATATTATTCTTGGTAAAAACCATAATAAAAACAAAGAAAAATGCTTTTCAGTTTTTTATACTCTTTTTTTTAATAGTTGAATTTTTTAAATGTATTTAGTTTAACTAATCACAACTAAATTTAAAAAAAATCTTCTCTAAACTATTAAAAAAAAATACAATACATATATTACAATTCTCGATAATAAAACACATATATATGTATGTGTACATACATATACATAAATATATTAATTCATGTGAAACAAAAACAAAACAAAAAACTGAAAATAATTTAGTTTTTATTGTAATTCCGTGTCTGTGTGTGTATTTCAGTAATTAATGTAAAAATATAAAAAAAAAGAAAGAAAAAAAAACACAAAAAAATTGAAAAAACCTAAAAACACAAACAAAGAAAAACATAATGAAAACTAGCGAAATAAATAAAGTGAAAAATATTTGAACAAAAAAACTAAGTTTATGATCAATAAAAATTAGAAAGGGAGTAAAGGAGAGCGAGCGTGAGGTCGACAGAGACAGAGAACGCAGTGAGCAAGAGAGAATGAGAGAAAATTCCAAAATTCAACTGCTTTTCATATGGTAAGTACCTTAGTACTTAGATACGTTCCTAAAGAACGTATTCCGAAGTTAGTCTAGCTCCAAACTTACATTCGACTTTGAGAATGACGGAGACTAGTTACGAAAATAGGTTCTACAATGACCAAAATCGATGGAGTTACGTCTCAGTCGAAGACCAGAAGCAAGCTGGAGCTGGACTTAGGATCCACTTATGTATATATATTCATAAATCAGAGAATAAAGATTCGATTTTTATTTTTAATTTTGTAATATTCAATATTTATTGTAAGTTTTATATATAGTATACATATAATAGTTAAGAATATAAAAAAAAAATGTGCATTTAAAACTAATTCAATGTCGATTCGATAAACTGAATTTTGAATATAGATATATTTCTTTATTTTTATTTTTTTTTAATTTTTGAGAAAAATTGTAAAAAATTAAAAAGAATTTGCAATTTTCTTAATTTCATTTTGTGTCATGGAAGTACATGATGTGAGTGTGTGTGTGGGTGAGTATATATATGTATGTGTGTATATATAGTTAAGGCCTTTAAATTACAAGTTTTGCATGTCTTCTTTTTTCTTCATTAAAGCTAAAACAGAAAGTTCAAACTAGGGCTGGAAGATGAAACTAAGTAGCTAAATGTTATATGAACTATATATATATATATATATATATATAGATATATATATATCTGATTTATATATGTATATATATATATATATATATGTCCGATCTTTATCGTTAAGTATTCCTTACTTTTCTTTTGCTTTTGTTTCATTTTCATTTTCATTTTTGTTTTTTTTACCAACACCAAGCGATTGCACAAATAACCCGTTGTTGCTTAAAAAACTATTCAAAAAAAAAGTAATAATATTAATATAATATATTTTATAATATATATTTTAAGAGAAACTTATCCAACTAAATGTGTTTGTTTATTAAAAAATTATTCAAATTTGCAGCTGCATTGCTGTTCACAAACAAAGTTGAATATATAGCTATAGCTATAGCTATACCTAGATATACACCTCTCTCGATATAGATATATAGCTATATTCATATATATCTATATGTGCAAGATGCATTCATCAAAATAGTCGTGTGACTGACCACAAAAATATTGAACCAAAAAATTGTTGGGATCCAACTCAATGTTTTTCAAACCGTTTGAAATGAATATTAAGACTTAACAGTATAATATATATATATTCATGTAGATGTTAATATTCAGTTTATATATGTATATTTATGTATAAGTGTACCTAACTTTGCGAAAAGCCTTACTGGAATGGAATATATTTCTTTTGTCAACTACACGCCTATTCGTATTCTTATGATTAATCTTCCAATGTTTTCATGAAAATACAAATTTTGTTCACTTTTCCTTCTCAAACCATAAAGTCCACTTGTTGCTAAACTTGCAACAATATTTGTAAATGAATTGATTGAAATCCATCTGGACATTCGTTTCAAATTGTTTTTAAAATATAGCGTTTACCACTAAGATTTTCTTAGCTAACATTAAGTGCTCAGAGGCACGACTATTTTCATGATCGCAGTTGTATCGATATTTCTATATAGCTATATATCTATATATGTGTGTATATATAGGCATAAATTCTTCTATATATATATATATATGTATATATATTAGTTGTTATTCTTGTTCTTTAACTTCAGTACAAATTGGTGGTTTGCTTCAGCTTTGTTTTTAAATAAAAAGTATTAAAAATTAGAGCTTATATTATTTAAAAAATATATAAATACATACATATATAGATATGTATACATACACACATAAATATACATATACATATATATTCTATATATATATATATATATATTACATTAGATGTGTTTTGTGCTTTGACTTCATTCATGAACAGCTTAATTTAGCTTAGCTTAGCTTACTTTTTAATTTTAACTTAAAAAATTAAACATTTTCGTGTTTTTTTTTTTTTTTTTTGTGTGTGTTTTTTAATGCCTCTTTACAATGAATTTTTGTTGTCTTTTGTTCAAAAATTCTATACAAAATAAATAGAATACAATATTTGTAGATCTCTTAAGTTTACATTTTCTCTGCTTCTTCTCTTATGTATGTCTATGTATATATATCTATATATATATATATATATATTTGATTCTTGTAAATAAATGCAAAGTTTTTGCAGCTTGTTCATTTAGCTATTCAAAAAAAAAAAACTGTCAATGATTAATCGATAAGTTAATCAACGACAATCGATAATTCATTTTCATTTTTCTGTTTCCGTTTCCGTTTCTACTTCTATTTCTCAGAGTTGCTTAAAGCATTCGAAGCTTAGTCTAAATCTTAAAGAGCTACAAAAAAAATGTTTTTGTTTTGGAAAAATGAAACTTTTGACTAAGCGCATAAAATTAGTTTTTCGATTATTATTAAGTGTTCTTGTTCTTCTTCATATTTAACTAAATTAATGTGAAAATTACTAAAGAATTTTTGTTGTTTTCTTAACAAATTTTCTTCATTGTTTTAAATGTTTTTTTTTTTTTTTTTTTTTTTTTTTTGCACAGCAAAGTGAAAATTTTGTTTTTCTTTTCGAAACATCTTGAGCTAAACTAAAAATTAAATATTTTGCTTTTCCTTGCGATTACATAACTAGCATCTAAATGAGATATATATAGATATGTATAGACTTATGTATACATAGATATATATATATATATGAATACGTATATGTATATATATATATATATATATGTGGGTGATATCATGTTGTATTATAAATGTACAAAACATAATCTCTCCATTTTCGTGGGGCAGTTTTCATAAAACTTCAGCTTAAAGTTGAATTTGCATTACGTTTTCTGTTTTCAGTTAGTTTACCTTAGATTTTAAGTTAAGTTATTCCTAGCTCATTTTGTGTATATATCTATAGTTTAGTTTTGTTTAGGTTCAGTTAGTTTGTTAGTTATGCACCGGCATCGGCAGCTGGCCGAGCAAATTGTTCGCGAACTGCGAATTGGTGAACTTAAAGTGACGCTTATCGTAGAACTTGAGCAGGGCTGGCGAAAACGGATGATTGTCCTTCAGATGCAGATAGTGGACCTCCGGTTCGCAGGTCGTGTGGCCGCATTCCTCGCAAACGTACATCTGCAATGGCGAGGAAGTAGAAAGGGGAAGAAGTTAATATAAAAATGTTGCATATATTGAGGCGTAGCATGATTAGTAGTTCAATTCAGTCTTAGTTTCAACGCTTAAAATAAATATGAACAAAAAAAAAAGTCTTAGCTAGTTCCATCTGAATTAATAAGCTTGGCTAAACTGACTATTGAGTTTTCGTATTTCGAACTAGTTCCCGTACTGAATTATTTGTACGTCTTCGATTCTTAGCAGCTAACTCTGAGACAAAGAGCTGACTGAAACTATTTCCTAGCTAGTTTCTGGTAAATTTCATATGAACTAGTTCCTAGCCTTACTATATCAGCTGCAGTTTAAAATTTTACTCTTGTTTCCATTATATGCTCATTTTCAGAACTAGTTCCACACCCCAACTGCTTACGGTTCGATCAACTCGTTCAAGTAGCTGATGAGCTAAGCGTTCACTGACTTTTAGCTTTTTGCCGTTTTCTTTATATGTTCATTTTCTGAGCTAGTTCCGCATCGTAATTGCATTTTGAAATGCGTTTTCTATCTATCATGTCATGCCTCAGCTATTTATCATATTAAGTTTTTGATTTGTTTTCTTATTGTTCATTTACAGAACTAGTTCCAAAGCTCTATTATTCATTAGAGTCAGTTTCTTAATAAACAGTTAAAAATCTCAACTATTTCAGCTACTGCTATAGAATTTCTTTAACTCATGATCTTGTGAACTGGTTCCAAACGACAAATATACTAGTTCTAGATAACAATTGCATTATTTCCGTCAATCTGTCAATCTCTCAATCTGTCTACAATTTTATATGAAATACCCAAGCACACATGAGAATTGAACAGAGGATTTCGGTAGGTTAGTTCAATATGTGCTCTTACCTTGGCGCGTCGCTCCTTGTAGGCATACTGATGCTGCACACTGTGCACCTTCTGGCAGTGCGACTCGAGGGAGCAGCGCTGCGTGAAGCTCTTCTCGCACAGGTTGCACTTGTAGGGACGCACGCCCGTGTGGGTGCGCGTGTGGCGCTTCAGGTCGAAGGTATCGTTGAAGCCCTTGCCGCAGAACGTGCACAGATAGCGCTTGATGTCCGAGTGGCATTTCATGTGGCGATTGAGCAGACGCTGCAGCGAGAAGGTCTTCATGCAGACACGGCAGACGAACTTGTTGTTGGCATCCTCGGCGCCGCTGTTGTTGCTGGGGCAGAGCGAGTCGCCCTGATTGCTGCTGTTGCTGCTGACGCTGCTGCTGCTGTTGTTATTGTTGTTGCGATGATGGCTGCTGTTGCCGTGCTGCTGCTGCTGTTGCTGCTGCTGACTGAGCACCAAATGCTGTTGCAGCGACTGTTGCTGCGGCGAGTGCTGCTGCTGCTGTGGCGAGTGCTGTTGCAGCAATTGTTGCTGGTGTTGCAGCGACTGCTGTTGCTGCTGCTGTTGTTGCTGCTGCTGCTGCTGCTGGCCATGCTTGAGATCTTCAATGCAATCCATATTGTTGCGTATGCGATGATGATGATGTCCGCCATGCGTATTCTCCACGGCCAGCGGATTCTTAATGCCATGGCCTCCGTTCACGAACTCCAGCTGTAGATCAGGCGGCAGACCCAACTGAAGGAACGGTAAACATAAACACATATATAAGGTAAGTTGTCAAATGCTCCATTAGAGATTAAACATGTTTAGACAGCACAGGGCAACAACAAAACATTAAACAATTCACAATGGGGACAGGGAACGATTGATTTGTGGGAAAGATAAAAATATATATCTATATAATAAACCTAAAATATAGATTTCCGTTTCGTTGGCATTTCGAGAAACTGTATGAGCTATATATATATATATATAGAGATGGATCTATAGATACATTTGTAGCTGAACATCACGACACATCAATAGATCTCTTAGATAACCTAAACTGTTCCGGAATAGTATATAAATATATAATTTCAGAAATCTTCAAAGAACAAAAAGGTAGAGGACAGATACAGAGGACAACAAAATGACAACGGAAAAACAAAGACAGGTATGTATTCAAAGAGAGGGAGAGAGAGAGAGAGGGTGAGAGAGGGAGACACAGTCACAGCCACAAACAGAGACAGAGACAGAGACAGAGACAAAGACAAGGACATGCAAGGGCCACATTTAGGCCCCCATCATCTGGGCCTTGTTACTACTCCGGGCCTTACCAGCCGCTGCAGCATTTTGCTCTCATTGATCACCGAAATGGTCGACGACGGCGGCAACAGACCCGCTGCTGTGGCCGCCGCTTCGGTGGCAAGCGAACGCAGTGTGGCGCGATGGACCTGCCGCTGGGCGGGCATCTCGGGCGATGGCTTCACTGTCGAGTAGATCGTGACCACAGTGGAGCCATAGGTAGCGGCCTTTGAGCGGCCGCCTAACTTTGCACTGGTGTTGCTGGTGCTAATGTTGCTGCTGCTGCTGCTGCTGCCGCTGCCGCTGCCGCTGCTGTTGCTGTTGCCATTGCAGTTGCTGCTATTTGTTTTGATGGTTAAATTGCAAATGTTTTTGCTGCTTGTGGTGGTGGTGCTGCTGATGTTGGTAATGTTGTTGCTGTTGACAGTGCTGTTGTTGTTGTTGTAGCTAAAATAGTTGCTGCTGTTAAGCAGCATATAGGTCACCGGCTCAGCTGGTGACTCAGCACTGTTGTTGTTGTTGTTGTTGTTGTTGTTGCTGCTGCTGCTGTTGCTGTTGATCTTTAAGATATTGTTAGAACTTACGCTTTGTATCAGCGGCTTGGTGTCAAGCAATGCGGCTGCAGCAACCGCCGCCGTGTTGGCATCGAGCAGATTGGAGCTGCTGCTGCTGCTGCTGGACATAGGACGGAGAGCGGCAACAGCAGCAGCTGCTGCTGCTGCGGCCGCCGCAGCTGTTGTTGGCGATGGCAGCGATAGGTTGCTGTTGTCGTTGTGATGATGATGTTGCTGCTGCAGTTGATGCTGTTGCTGCTGCTGTTGCTGCTGATGGGAATGTTGCTGCTGCTGCTGCTGCTGGTGTGAGTGCTGCTGATGTTGCTGGTGAGCGTGATGAGCATGATGCTGCTGTTGCTGATGGAAATGATGCTGCTGTTGCTGCTGCTGCTGCTGTTGGGCATGATGATGCTGCTGCTGTGCATACATATTGTGTTGCTGATGGAAATGCTGTTGCTGCTGCTGCTGCTGCTGATGGTGTGTATGATGTTGTTGTTGCTGTTGCTGCTGCAGCAATTGCTGTTGCTGCTGGGCCAGCTGCTGCTGATGGTAGCTGTTGCCGTTGCTATTGTTGTTGCCAGTGTGCTGCTGCTGCATCTGCAACAGGTTGCGCGTGGCATGCTGGTACGAGGGCGGCGGCTGCTGCAAATGTTGCTGCTGCTGCTGTTGCTGCTGTGCGTTCACAACATGTTGCTGCAAATGCTGCGGGGCAACATGTTGCGGCGCATTATAAACATTGTTGCCGCCGCTGCCATTGTTATTGTTGTTGTTGTTGCTGTTGCTGCCGTTGCGCGCCATATTGTTGGTGAGCTGCGTCAACAGATTCTCGTGCAGCGCATCCAGTTGGACAGCAGCATGCGGCGTCACCGAGACCGCATCCGAGTCGGGCGTCAACGATGGCGTCGACACCAGTTCAAAGTCCGCCCGCTGATGGTGGGCGGGGCTGTTGTTGTTCGTCGAGTGCTCGTCGTCGTCGTCGACGTCGACGCAGCCGCGCTGCAAAAACGAACTGAGATCCACAGCATCCGACAGCTGCTCCAGCAAATGATCCGTCTGCGAGCTGAGCATCAGTGTAGCGGTAAATTGCAACGGATCAACGCCGCCGCTGCCGCCATTTGTGCATTGACCGCCGCTGCCGACGCCGACGCCGCCGCCAGCGCCGCTGCCAGCCAAATCGTTCATAATCGCATCCTCATATGCGCTCGCCGCAAAACTATTGCCCGACGCAGCAGCAGCGGCGGCCGCAGCAGCAGCCGCTGCCGCTGCGCTGCCAACGCCGCTGCCCATGGTGGCCTGTATGATATTCTGGGCAAAGGTTCCAATGTCGATCTTCGCCTCGTCGTACTCAATGTCGGGCTCATCTTTCAATATGATGCCATAAGCTGAAGGATTGCCGCCATAGAAGGGATGTCCGTTGCCAATCGTTCCAGCGGAATGCAAATGATGGAATTTGGAATTGGAATTGGAATTAGAATTGATATCATTATAATTGCTATGGCCCAGATTGTTGGCAAAGTTCAAAATGTTATTACCATCAAGACCAACAGCGCCGGCTCCACCAGCTCCACCTCCACCAGTTCCTCCACCACCGGCTCCTCCACCGCTGCCGTCGGCTCCTCCGCCGCCGCCTCCACCATTACAGTTATACTGTTGATTGGACATTAGATAAGCTGCCGCAGCTGCGTTCTGTATGAGAAATTGCGAATTGCTGTGCGCGTCAACAGCAACGCCGATGCCGCTGCCACTGCCGCTGCCGCTGCCGCTGCCGCTGCTCTGGCCGCTCTTTAGGCTCTCGTAAAATGGCGGCAATGCGCCGCTGGGCGGTGAGTTGGGTCCGTAGTTGCCGCGTCCGTCACGGCCGCCGCCCATGCCACCGCCGCCGGCACCGCTGCCAAAGCTACCGCTGCCGCCGCTGCCGGCACCACTGCCAGCACCGCTGCCGCCGCCGCTGCTGCCGCCGCCGCCTCCGCTGCCGCCGCCGCCCTGGCTAAAGCCGTTGCTCGCTTGGAAGCCCTGGCTACTGTTGCTGCTGCGTCCGTGTCCAGCGGCCGCTGCCAAAATGCCCGGCAGACTGCGCACCAGGCGCGGATTCAGCTGCAGCACACGCGCTGCCAAGTAACTGCTGCGACGCCGGGCTTCGCGTACGCGTCGTGCCCGCTGCAAGCGACGCGCGTTCAACTCGTCGTCGCTGTCGTAGCTGGCGCTGCGCTGCCGCGGCACGTGATAATCGATTGGCTCCTGCTGCTCGGGTCCCAATTGCTCGAGGTCGAGCGTGCGCTGGTATAACAGTTGTTGCTGCTGCTGCTGTTGCTGTTCCCTCTGCTGCTGTTTGTATAACAGTTCGCTACTGCTGCTGTTGCTTTCGCTGCTCTGCGGCGCACGCTGTATGACGCTGCAACGAACGGCGGGTATACGCGGTGGCGGCGGACTCGGTCGCTGCTCTGCTGTGGGCGGGCTGCTGCGCATGCGCAGCGACAACGGCTGTTCAATTGGTAGCAGTGGCTTCTCGTCCACAATCAATTTGCAACCGTCATCGGAGTCGCTGTCATCAGTGTCGCCGCTGCTGCTGTTACCGTTGCTGTTGCTGTTGCTGTTGCTATTGCTGCCGCTGTCAACGTCAACGTTAACGTCAGCGACGGAATCAGCGTTTAGCACTTTCTCTTTGCTTAGACGTTCGTGTGGATATTCTTTGCGCTGGGCTTGCGTTAGAACAACGCCAGCGCCGTAATAACGTGGCTTTGGCGCCTCAAGGCCAACGTCGACGTCAACGTCAACGTCGGCGTCGCCGTCAGCTTCGTCTTCAGCGTCGCTGCTGCTGCTGCTGCTGCTAGCGTGCGACGCACTATTCTGCTTTGGGCTCTGTTCGTTTTCTTTTGGTATGCTGCTTGCTGTTGGTGTTGTTGTAGCTTTTGTTGCTTCTGTTTCTGTTTCGGGCTCACCTTCTAGCTCTACTACTACTTCTCCTTCGGCTTCTGTCTCTATTCCTGCTTCTCCTACTTTTGCTGTTAACGAATTCTCGTCGCAGTCTTTTGTGGCTGTTGCGGGTGGTGTTGCTGTTCTGCTAAGGTTAATGCTAATATTAAGTTTGCTGTTGCTATTGTTGTTGATGTTGGTTGTTGTAATGGTTGTGGTTGTGGTGGTGGTGGTGGTGGTGTTGTTGGTGCTAGAGGTTTCAGCTGTGGAGCTGTTGCTGTTGCTGTTGCAGCTAAGACGCTGCAACAGTTCTGCTGGCGTTAAACAACCGTTACTTTCTGAAATAGACAAGAGAGAATAAAAAAATAGATATTAGTGAAAAGCGCAACAGCTAAAAAAATATGCACAAGCACATGCGCATATAAAGCTACACATGTAAATATATGTATGTTTGTATGTATGCACTGATGCGCGCATAAGTTTTACATTCTTGTAAAGCAAAAGTTAACGGCACTTGCCCGAAAGCGAAAAGCGCAAGAGAACGAAGATTACTCCGAAATTAAAATAGAATGTAATAACAACGAAATTGAACCCCGTAACCGAAAACTAAATCGATGCCCGAAGACGAGCGACAAGAATTAACCGTGCATTCGCCACAACGATCGACTGCTAACTGTAAGCGCATCATCGCCTTCTTATTCCTGCACACACTTTTTGACACACGCACACAAGTACAATGCAGGCAAAAAGACGCAACAAGAAAGTGTTTTGTCGCGGCGATCTCCTAAATACAGTGAGCACACGCAAATGAAAGTTTCACACAAAAATGTTAAATCAACTGCCTATTGCTTTCAATTACTCAGCTCAAACAGAAAATACAGAGTGCACCAAGTATCTACAACAAGTTGTATTTTATTGGAATATTTTTTTATTTATTAATTATTATCAATAAGCTTTTCACGTTGCTTTAGCGAAATGTTACTAGAATCTTCTGTCGTCGCTTCTGTTTATCTTCACTGTATCAATTCGCCCAAATTTTCTGCGAGTGCGCGTGTGTGTGTGCACATGTGTCTCTGTATGGTGCCCATGTATGTATATTTTGTATGTATGTATGTATATTTTTCCTTGCTTAATTTCTATTTCGTAAAGAACAAAAAATCATAACTGTAATTGTAAGGAGTTGCCAGTACGAAAATCGTGCCTTTGAAACGTTTTAACAACTAGACACAAAGACGTAGTCAGAGAAGGGGCGAGGCAAGTGCACAGACACAAATTATTATTTGCATACAACTTTACAATTTAATAAGTTATATGTTTATGTACATACATACATACAAAAGCTTTGATGAAGACTTATAAAATAACCTATTAGTTATAGCATTTAAATAAAACTAACGATTTTCTGTACTCTGTTAATAATTAAAATGTCCAAACATATATATGTACATACATACAAATTAGTATAGTATTATATACATATATTTGCGTTAGTAAAAATCTACTTATTTATTTAACTAATATGAGCAAGTTTTTCTCTCGCCCCCTATAGATCTTATGTTAATAAAATCCTGTCGACGTCTTTGTTTGCATGCGCGCACACAGCCATTTGCATGCGCATACAAGTGTATAAATCTATGCATGTGTGCATGTAACTGCGCGTCGACATGTGTGTGTGGTGATTTTCGCCTTTCCGCCTTCTCTTTCTTTTCAGAAACTATCAGTAGGCAAGTACGCAGCTAAGCAATGCGCGTAATCATTAGAGATGAAAATACAGAAATTGAATTTATTGTACACACATACATACATTGAATATTTTACAAAATATATTTCTAAACATCTATATAAATATAGATACATATGTATGTATTTGATCATTAATGTGTTTTATTTTCTTATTTTTTTCGTGTGAATTAAATGTGAAGAGCAAGTGCAAGTGCGAGGCGCCGCTGCAGTCGCCTTCGGCGTCGAAGCGCCGTCAAACCAGGCAAAGACAAGGTTGGCAAACAGCAACGAAATAAAAACTTGTCTTGGCTGTAAATCAAATCAAATCAAGTGCAATAAATAATAGAAACAACAATTACAGCAACAACAACTATTCCTATTGCAATGGCAATCAAGTTGGCGTCAACGTCGCTGCCTTTGCTGTTGGCGGCCGTCGATTAAATGTTTGTTGTTTGAGTGTGTATGTGTGTGTTTGCCTGTTACGTTCATGCGATCAAGATCAAGGCTTTTTGCAGTTGCTTTTAATATGTGTTTGTGTGTACTGCAGCGGCATTTGTCAATGAACAAGTTTTGTATGCGTAGGTGTTGTTGCTGTAAAGCCCTTCATAAATACACACGCACACATTTCATGGCATGCAAAGCGCACGGTACCCATAATTACACACACATGTGTGCGCGTGTGTGTGTGTTTAAAATTTCAAATGCCCAACACGCACACAGCTGCGCTGTCTTTGCTGCATAGTGCTGTCAGCTCTTTAGCTGAAATTGCTAGTTCTAGAGTAAAACAGCTAAATTCGGTAGAAAAAGCTAAAAAATTACGAATCACATGATAAAAAACTGATAACTTGGTAAATATTTTTTTTAAATAAGCTATAAAGGCTAAGTTACATAGATAGCTGCCAATAATCTGGATAAATGAATGAAAAAGCTGATAGCTTAAAAGTATTAAAAATGGCTAAAAAGGCAAAACTAAGCTAAATAGCGACCAGCACTGTTGTTGCTTTACTCAAATTCTAACTGTCGCCTGCCGCTTAACAGCGCGGTGTAGAGTTAACAGCTAGTGCAGCCTTGAGCGTGTGCACAGCCGTTTAACATTTCGACGTTCAAATTGTTTAACATAATTGATTACTTCAATTGCTTTGGCACATTTAAACGCACATTTCGTTATGGTTATGCATGCATACATACATATGTACATGCATATGTATATATTTAATTTTCATTTAAATTCACTTAAAATGTTGTCTTTGCCATAATAACAGCACAAGCCACGCCCAGCAGCTGCCCACAAGCAAACACAAACACAGACGCACACACTCGTGTGTATTCTGTTAAGTTAACACGCCTGCAATTTAACATGATCAACTGTATAACGAGCTGTTAAATGGCTTGGCTATGCCTTACCAGTTTTCCAGATTTCCAGTTTCAGTTGTTGTTGTAATTGTCGTAATTAGTTTTTATTGTGTTAAGGTCAAGGCAATTGCTTCAAAATGCTTTATAATTACAAATGCAAAAAAAAGTGTTTGAGGAAATGAAATAATTCAATTCAATTTTAAAGTGTAATAAATAAAATATATATTTTTTTCTTTTTTTTTTTTAAGTGTAATTAATGAAAGAATTGTTTAAAAAATGTATTTCAAAAGTAAATAATAAAATATTTTTTGTTATATATATATTTTTTTTTTTTTGAGTGCAATAATAACATAATCATGGAAGGACAGAAATATAACAGAGCTGCAGGTAAGATCTTCGTATTTCTCTAGCTTCTCTTCATTTGCCCCATTTTATATCTACACACAAATATCAAGTTCAATGATCGTTTTATCCTTTACATTAATTGATTTCTTATTCTTTTTTATTTATTTCTATTTATTCTATTTACTTGCTGGCTGCGTGTGCTTGAACTTTTAAGATATTCTTGTTATCTGGTTTTTGTTTTTGTTTTGTGTCATTTTTTCGCTTTTCGCTTCACTTTGGTCTAGCGCAAAATGCGTCTTAACGAAACATCACAGACACGCACACACACACACCTACACACACTCACACACGCAAGCGATAGCATTTGCGTGTATGCGTATGTTAATGTGCATAACAAAGCGTCGCAGTTGTTGTCCAGAATTTGTAATACTTTTTTGCTTTTTATTTTGCGTCTTTGTTGTTTATTTTGCTCGTTGATTTAGGTTTGCTTCATGCAGCTGCTAATGTTAAGCACCTTCTTTTAACAGACTTATTTACATTTCTATGCAAATGAATTAGCAATCAGCTATGTATGTTAACATATACTGTTAATGTTGCTGCTGCACTGGGAATGCAATACTAAAGAATATCAATACAATATAATAACAGCATAACTGTTAACAACTATAAACGTGTTACTATTTAGATGTATAACAGAATATATGTATAAATATCAGCATGATATAACAATTCAACAGCAGCATTACAAATCTATAGTATAACAGTATAAAAGGAAAACTGTACGACAGTATGACGGCATAACAGTATAGTATAGTACAGTATAGTTGTACATCAATTTAACAGTGTATAGCAGTACAACAGCATACTATTCGAACTGCATAACAGAATGTGAATGTATAACATTATTGCCGTAGAACAGTTCCGTCTTAAGTAGTTTTTCAGTCTGGCTTCTAGTGATATTCTATAGCTTTGCGGGTGTTGTTTTGCTTCTTCTTTCTCCGCTTCTTATAGACTTTTTTATTTTGTTATTCTCTTTTATTATTTTTGTTATGTAATTTACGCATGGCCCACGCGCAACAGCTACGCAACAGATCACCAACTGTTGTGTGTGTGTGTGTGTGTGTGTGTGTGTGTGTGTGTGTGTGTGAGTGAGACCACGGAAAAAGCCAACATTGAGACGTTTTTTTTTTTCTGAGATGAGATTTTTTCGATGTTGTTGTTTTTGTTGACTACAATTGTTACTGTTATTGTTATTGTTGTAGTTGTTGTTGCTGTTATGTTGAAGCAAATTCCAAACGCATTCTATGGCTAACTTACATGTTGAATTCCCGGCATGCACGACGAATGACGACACACCTCTATGCGTCCCATCTATCAACCTAAAAGCCTAGCCCAAGCATAGCACACAAATCTTCTCATTGTTGTTGTTGCTGTTATTGTTGTTGTTGTTCTGTGTGCCATTGCAAATGCGAAACACGTCGCCCAGCGGCTCTACCCATATATAAACTACACACACACACGCACACACACACACACATGTGAATAGACAAGCATTGTAAGCAAATAACATGAGCAGCTTCTCCAAGGGTCGACTCAACCAAAAAAGGGTTAAAGGCATCTATTTAACAGAGTTCATGTACATCTGCCTAACAATTGATTGCCTTAAAAGTGCACGAAGATTGTGCTTCTTATTAAATATTTCAAGATTTTACAACTGTAACTGTTATGGATCACGAGTTATAATGGGTTGTACGACAGTTATGGAGAGTTTATCTTGAGGTTTTTATAAAATTAAACAATTTTTGTACATTTTTGCACTTAGCTGGGTATATGGTATGGATATGAATATGGATATATCCATATATATATGAAACTATCTCAGTTAGGGATATGGTTATAGTTATGGATAGTTATTTGT